ATTCTTGCATTTTGCCCCTCATGATTTGCTTCCCATCATCATGAAAAAAATATTACTTGTATTATGATCATTGTCCGTGTTCTTCCTTGCTTTTGTAGGAACTAAAATCCTAAACCAGAACAATACTTTTCCTCCAGAGGGAGGAGCACTCTGAGACAGGAAAAGCTGTGATACTACAGTCTGCTCATACTTCACAATTTTAGCCAAAGGCGGCAGCTGTTCTCAGATGCATGCTTTCTCCCATTCTACAGTATAATGCATGCCAAGGTAAGAGGTACGTTATGTCATGTAATATCAGGCCAGATGCCTACCCATTCAGTTCTGTGATTAAGGAGCAGAGAGAAAGATCTGAGCAGAAAGCTGGCTGTGCTTTAATGAAATGACTGTTTGAATATATATGAGGCTTCAGCTGATGTTTGCTTGGAGAACAGATATGTCTAACTTGCATTTCATGCCTTTTGTTAGCATTCTATATGTGTGTAGTGCACCAGTAGCTGAAATGCAGTTTTTAGGCTTTTATTTAAAAATACCCTAAGTTGTCAATGTTATGTATAAGAAAAGAAGTTCCACTGAACTTTCTGCACAGACTTATACATGTCTAATTGGAAGTGAATTCCCACTGAATTTTACTAAGTGGATATAGGATTATAGCTTATAAAGCTATAAATATCAAAGCTATACAGAAAAGACAACCATTCTTCATACTAGCAAATTTATACATTATGGGTATGGGCTGGTAGAAGTGAGTAAAGATTTCAATTCAGGTTTTAAAAGAAATATTTGTCAGAGTCACAAAATAACTTCTTCATATTAACAGTATGAATTATTTGAGATTTTTTTTAAAAAAATTAGGGACTATTATTGTTGTTGTATTTTTGTTGTTGTTATTAATTATTATTGTTGTTAAACACAAAAGAGTCAATCAAGATTATAAAAATATTGACTAGTATTATATAACAGATACAAGTTTTAACCAACAACCTAAGTATCTGTTAAATATCAGCGCAGTATGTATGCTGTTCTTAATATTGCCGTTTTTTGCAGCTCTGATGGTGTTATTTCTGTAATCTGCAACTGTGTGAGATTTCTTGGTATTGTTCCCAAAGCCCCGATGACAACGGGGACCACTGAAGGGTGTTTCATCCACAAGCAAGATGTTTCAATTACTGGGTCTCTGTACTTTGTTAGTTTTTCCAATTCTTTATTTTCAATTCTGGCATCCTAACTATTATTATTATTATTATTCTATCATGATGATGATGATGATGATGATGATGATGATGATGATGATGATGATGATGATGATGATGATGATGATGATGATGATGATGATGATGATGATGATGATGATGATGATGATGATGATGATGATGATGATGATGATGATGATGATGATGATGATGATGATGATGATGATGATGATGATGATGATGATGATGATGATGATGATGATGATGATGATGATGATGATGATGATGATGATGATGATGATGATGATGATGATGATGATGATGATGATGATGATGATTAGTAGTAGTAGTAGTATTAGTAGTATTAGTATTAGTATTAGTATTATTATTATTATTATTATTAGTAGTAGTAGTAGTAGTAGTAGCAGCAGCAGCAGCAGCAGCAGTAGTAGTATTGACTCATGCTTTCTGGACCATTTGAGCTCCCACAGAAATGCATCACTAGAAAATTAACATGTCATCAATCCTTTACTAGGTTTTAAAAGATGTTGTGTCCAGGTATCTGCACTGATATCCCTACTTATGGAAATCTTGAGAAGGAAGGATTACACAGTCAGAAGGGGCCCTACCACTAGGGAGAAAACAGCCATGTGGTCCTTGTACATAATCTAGAAACAAGAGTGAGTGAGATCTTCATTAGACCTTAAAATCCCTCTCCTTGCTCATTTCTATTTTTTGAGTCCAACAGGATTCTCCATCATGCTGGACATGGGAGGAAGGGACAAAAAGAGACAATTTCCAAAGGTTTCAAAATAATCTTGGTCAAATGTTAAATGTTATAGCCATGTGCTGTAACTTGAAGTGATAATCAAAATGGGCGGTGCTACCTTTGGGATCCTCTTGAAGTATATGGGTTCACTTCAGGCTATGTCAATTTTCTTGCCTTTTTCCAGTTCCATTTTTACAAAAAGGCAAACTACTCTCCCAGCTCCTGTCCATTGCCTTATGTTGAAGATAACGCCCCCCATTTGACTTGAAACAGAAGTTTCCAATTTTTTTGTCTGATGCATTGACTAAAGTTGAGTTCCAAGTCTGACATGGGGATTGACATGTTTCTATTCCAGTTGAAGTGATACCTGATCTTATTGTTATGTTTTGATTTGGACATTGTACAAATTGGTTTGACTTAGACTCAGTTTAGAATTTGTGATTTGTCCATATCATGTGTACAGCCCTATTTTGAATGTGTATCTCTCCTTGTGCACGATTAGAAGCATCATTTAGACACATCTACCATGCAGATAAATGAATCTTCTTTGCTTTTAGGTTTACCAGGGCTATGGAATAAATATTCTGTTTTCCTTGTTTGGTGACATGAAAATACTATATTTGGGGATTAATCTTGGTCACATATTAATCATCTCCCATGCAGTCACTATGATGAGTGTGCATGTGTGAAATGCCTGCGTATGTACTTGACGTTGTTGTGGCAGTGGTGGTTTCAAACTGTCCAGACTATAGGATTGTAAATCTTTTGCATACCTTTTAAATGGGTACTACTTCCTTTTGTTTCCTTTTTTTCTCAGTTAATCTCTGTGATCAGTTCTAGATCTCCTAAGGGCACTTTTTTTCTCATTTGGGCACTTACAAGTTTCCATTAACCTTAAAATCAGAAACTACCCCCTTCTCATTTTGCTTTTCTTTTGACAAATATTTTCTTCTCCCATTGTTCCTTGTTATTCTTATCCCAGATGTTTCCTTCTGGGGTCCTGGATGTCTCTGGAAGCTTGGCCTTCCTGTCTTTCTCCTCCCGTAACATGGTTTTTCCTTATCAATTGATTCATTTCCCTTTCATAATAAGTCTCTTCCTTATGCATTCTTAAGCATTAAATCATTGTCAAGAAGTACAGCAATGGGAGTGAGCTACATACAGATCATACAGTGCTCATTTCAAGTCTTCCCCTTTACCATGAATTTACCAGGCAGCCTTAGGCAAGGCATTTTCTTTCGTCAACAAGACTGATTTACACTACAGAGCAATCTTAAAGATTATAACTCTATAACATATTTGAAGTAGGCTGCTTGTATAGCTCAGAGAGTCTGATATCTGGGTTGGGAGATTGATTCCTCATTGTTGCATCCCAGAAGAAGAACCAGCTTGTGCAGTTTGTGTGAGCAACATAGTCCCTGGGCATCCCCAGAAAGAGGGAGGGGTAAACTGTAGCTATATGCTGCTCTTTTGAAGGGTGCATTTGCGGCCATCCTAAATGTGGCCAGGGAAGCTGCGTTTTTCATATTAAAGTCTCAAAAAGATTTTTGAAGAAGAAGAAGAATAGTTGGAAAACTCAAACGGTCGCCCTATCTGTAAAATCTTAGTGATCCAATACAGGTATTACTCAGGCCATGGATCACTGGGCAGCAGCAGCAGCTTCTCTTCTTCTTCTTCTTCTTCTTCTTCTTCTTCTTCTTCTTCTTCTTCTTCTACTTCTTCTACTTCTACTACTACTACTACTACTACTACCACCACCACCACCACCACCAGGAAAATAGCCATTTGCTTATTTACTGTTAATCAGATAATTGACCCTGCTGATATTTTCTGCATTAAATCCCTCTCTGACCACACTGTCTACGACATAGAGTCGTAGAATAACGAAGTTGGAAGGGGCCTATAAGGACATTGAGTCCAACCCTCTGCTCAGTGCCAGGTGGTTGTCTAAGTTTCTCTTGAATCCCTCTCGTGCTGGAGCACTCACCACCTCTCAGGGTAATTGGTTCCATTGCCGTACTGCTCTAAAAGTTAGGAATTTTTTTTTCCTGATGATCAACTGAAATCTGACTTTCTGTAAATTGAGCCCATTGTTGTGTATCCTGCACGGGATGATTGAGACGAGATCCTGCCCCTCCTCTGTATGACAGCCCTTCAAGTATTTGAAAAATGCTATCATATCTTCCCTCAGCCTTCTCTTCTTAAGGCTAAACATGCCCAATTCTTTCATTTCTAACCCCTTTTGTACTGCATACATACCTGAAATTCTAAGTAACACTTCATGCATCTGATGAAATTTGTTATAGGCCACAAAAGTAATGCTATAGTACATTTATTCATCTTTAGTTGCTTATCAGATGCATGAGAAGTAAAATGACCCTCAGGTCAATAATTAATCATACCCCTTTAATCCTTTGTTTACCCCTTGCACATTTCCCCCCTTGCCTTGGTAAATTCTATGATACTCATTTTCTTCATTGTGTACCTGGAAGATATTTGAATAAAAAGTGTAAGGTCTCTTTAAAAGCAAATAGATCTACAGTACTGTGATATCACAATGCACCTCTCATTTCTTGTTTACAGGTGAATGATGGCAAATATTCTTTGTGGACTTTCCAGAGGTTGAGTCTGTGTATCATATTAGTAGAGCTCTGTAGGACACATGGTAAGTAGAATACGACTGTTGTTTTTTGATCCAGTGTGGTGTAGTGGATAGAGTGACAGACTAGGACTCAGGACTCATGAGCTCGAAGTCCCACTCAGCCATGGAAAGTCACTGGAGTTTGGAACTGATAAAACCACTCTTTAAGTATCTCACTTACCTTGAAATCTCTCTTAGAGTTGCTATAGGTTGATTCCAATTTGGTAGGTAGTATATAACAGACAATTGCATTACAGGACTAAAGAAAGCATCAGTGATTAGAAGTATTATTACAGACACAAATGTGACTCCTCATGTGTAGTATCATCTACTTTTTTATTACTTGAAACCAAACATAACAGGCATGAATGTACCTCATGCACACAAACATGCTCAGTCTCTCAGTGAGCATTTTCCAGATGAGAGCCTCTCTTCATTCCCATTCTTCTGTTGATATAGAGTTTGTGGAGGAAATCATATCATAACCTTTCTGAGATAAAGTAGTAGGATGTGCCTGGATACAGGAGGAACACTTTTATTCTTCTGCATAGGAATTTAGCCCAAGACATTTTGCTGTGTGATGAGCAAAATGGTGCTTCCTTTCCTTCCATGTAAAGAAGCTGACTGGACTGGCAGCCAAATCTTTCTTCAAAATTGATGATAGGACAGTGTCCTCCACCTTACCTGAAGACAGGGCAACCTGTGGGGAGCTACATGAAAGGTTTCACCTGCCTTGAGCATAATTTTTGTTTGCTTTGATGTTTTTTTGCAAAGAGGTAGGGGAATTCTATAAATACTTACATACATACATGTGTTGAAGAGGCATCAAAGTGACACTTGTTACTAGGCACATGGTAGCATTACAAAGCATGCACAACTTATATGATACTTTGTCTGAGCCAGACAGAGAATGCTGATGGTAAGAGGTAATAACTGGAGAAATTAATGAGTGGGGACATGAGGAACAAGTGGGAGGCCAAATTGATGAAAAGATTGTGGCTGACATGAGCCCGTTATCTAAGATCAAACAACGCAGGCAATGTTGCACTCCCTTTCTTTGTACTGAGATCGCAGATGCTGCAGACGCAGCGGCAGGGAGCCTTTCTGGTGCTCTTGCCCCCTCCCACAATGTAAGATATAAGTAAAAGGTGAAGTTTGATGTATGGTGTTCCCTAGGATTTTTAAAAAATTATTAATGGAGATGAAAAGCTGTATCTATAGCTCTGCATGTAGTACAAGCAAAGAATTTGCGTGATACAAGATATAGCCCTTAAATTTTGCCTTATTGATGGATCCAGGCCTTTAAAAACTTTAAAATGTCTTATGTGGACTTTCTGTGAACAAGGGTTATTATTCACTCTATATACAGTATATCACAGATGTGAGTAAACCTCCTCACATTTCATAAATATTTTAGTATATCTTTTCATGTGACAACACTGAAGAAATGACACTTGGCTACAATGTAAAGCAGTGAGTGTAAAGTTTGTATAACGTTGCTGTCCCCTCAAAATAACACAACACACAGCCATTAATGTCTAAATCACTGGCGACAAAACTGAGTACACCCCTAAGCGACTATTCTGTAAATCTAAACTTAGACAAGAAATTATGGTTTGGAGTTGGACTGTTTCCATAAAACAAAACTAAGTTTAATCATAATTTGTGAAGTCCAGATGACATGGAAAACTATGATTAATCAAAAATGAAAATGATGTTTTTGAACTTGGTCCCACATAGCAGGCAAAGGGGGGCAGGAATCCCTGAGGAAAAGAGAGCCAAGATCTCTCTCTCCTCCCCCCCCCCAACTTCATCCTAACTGACTCCATGGGAATTTTTGTATCTGTTTCTGCTGGTCTTCCATTTTACTCTGGCTTCGGGGCTAAATATTTATATGCATTAGAACTGAATTGTAGCAATTAATTGTGACTCATTCTTGTGCTGCTACAGAAGACATTTCGACACAGGACAAAGATGTGGAACTGGGTGGCAATGTTACCTTGAGCTGTACTCCAACAAAGCATTATGACACTGTTCAAGTTACGTGGCAAGAAAAAACTGATCAAGGCATTGAAAATATGGCAGTGTACAATAAAACAGGTGGAAATGTTCTTCCCCCGTACAAACATCGAATCCGTTTTGTAGCTCCAGGACTCAATGATACCGCCATCACTTTTTGGAATGTCAGCATCCAAGATAATGGATGCTATTACTGCATATTTAATACGTATCCTTTAGGTCCCATCTCAGGAAATCCTTGTCTTTCTGTTTATGGTGAGTCTTTCCTTATCATAATAATCTTGATGAGGCTAACAATATTTAACGGAATCCTTTTCAGTGTATCAGCATCTTTTAAAACCAGGAGTGAGGGAAAGGGTATGGGGAGAGAGAGTCAATGGATGCATGTATTTGGGCCCTTTGTGCTATTTCAAGTAATACAAAGAACTTCATGCTGAGCCGATAAGCCTTAAAGCCAACTGGGAATGGGTGGAGGTGGATGTCTGGGCTTCACATCTAAAATTCAAATTATCTCCTCCTTGACTTCTGCTCTCCCTGAGAGTTATCTCCTCTCCAAGACTCAGCAGAACACAGAAATTCTCCAAGACTTCACCCAGTGCCTGGAAACATGGCAACAACATTTGCCTTGTGGAGATGGGGTTCATGTACCCACTCACACCTCCAACCTGAACATGTTCTTGGGTCACAGAAGTAAAGCACACCAGTTTAACTATTTGTAGAGCTGTGAAACAGTTGCATGCAAGGACACATTTAACCTCTTAAAGGAGCTCCCCTTCTAATCATGTGCTAAATCTGTTGTCTCGGATCCTAACGATAAACATTGTCATTTGTGTCATAGACCACCTCCAAACATTCCTACACTATCAAATCTTTGATGGACATTTGAATGCCTCCTGCATCGCAACTGGCTTCCCACGTCCTAATATCTCATGGGTTGCATCAGGAGCGGAAAAGAATGAAAAGGAGGTCACAAATCCCAATGGCACAGTCTCTGTTATAAGTAGCATCCTTGTCAATGTTTCAAGTTTGAAGCAACAGCCAATCTGCAGAGTGACACACAGGAGAGAAGAGACAGATCTCAAGATACCAGAAGCAGAAAGAGGTAAGCACAAACGCATAAAGACCTGGTGCATGCTTCGGCTCCTTCTACTACTACTTCTTCATTACTCCACTGACATCCTACAGTGGACACCGGCCTCCCATTTTTGCTTCCACAAATTTCTGTTTTAGACTATTCTAAACCATGCCAGTCCTGCTGATCTTTTAATATCATCCATAGTTTGTAGTCTTTCTCTGTGCCTTCTTAAAATGATCCTTTAAAAACATTGTTTATGTATTCTGTTTTCTTGTGCTACAAGAGTGGAAAAACATTGTGAGAAGAAGGGCAAGCTGCTCAAATGGATGCACTTTGGAATGGCTGGAAAGGACAACAGTGTGTGGTCATGTGGGGAAATAGATCAGATTTTGGACTACCTGTGGGGCAGTCTAGTGCGATCTATTGCCTGGGGATCACACGACACACAGGGAAATGTGTTCCATCCTGATCCCAGTCTGTACCTAAGCTAGACCTTTTTGGTACAGACCAGTGTGGCGTAGTGGATAGAGTGATGGACTAGGACTCTGGAGAACAAGATTCGAATCCCCACTTGGCCATGGAAACTCACTGGTGTGTGTGTAGAAATGGTAAAACCACCCCTTAAATATCTCACTTGCCTTGAAAGCCATATTAGGGTTGCTGCAACTCAGCTCTAACTTAACAGGACAGAACAGAACAGAACACACACACACACACACACAGAGAGAGAGAGAGAGAGAGAGAGAGAGAGAGAGAGCGAGAGCGCTTTTGGGGGGTGGCTGAAGCAATTCCCCAATAGATGGAGAAGTCACTGCAAGTGAGATTGCTCCCTGTAAAGTGGTCCTTTCTAGTCTAGTTGGATATGCACCTTTCATGCTGTCTGATCACTCCCTTACTCAATAGAAAACATGCTTTTTTAAGTCTGAGAAAGTGTGAAATTGTTTTATAAGGGGAAAATAAGAAGAAAAATGAATTAAGAAACACCAGACAAACCAGAACTCTTGGACAAATGAGGGCCAGATTATTTTTAGAGATTAGTCTCGGTAACATTTGCTTTCTAGCATTTATTTGCAAATGAAAACTATGGTATACTATGTTATCACAAATCATGTCTTTGACAATTGTTTTCAATTTAAAATAATAATCAGGGTTGTCTACTGTTTATTAATAGCTTTATTTCATTTTATAATGGCCAATTACTACTTTTCTTCTTGAGAAGAAAATTAGGTGCATAAAGTTATCCAAAGACCAGATTTTTTTGTTTTTAACACTGCCAAACAAATGAGCAAATTTGAAAGTATCTTTGTAAAACACGTAAAACACAGGGAACTCTTGGAATCCATCTGGCTACCTAAAATTAATCTGCATTACATTCAGTACTTTACATTATACTCTGATAAAGTAATAACTTGTACAAATTGAATTATCTGCATGAATATATGTGCAGTATGTTATAGAGCTTGCCTATATCTTGGCATGGAATGGGAGCTTCACTTATGCATTTTTTAAAAAAAGGAGGAATACAGAGATTCCTGTTCATACTGTTGCTTTTGTTATCATTTGCTTTCCTTCATATAGGCTATCTAGATCCTGTGGTTCTAACTGTATTGGTCCTTATAATTGTTGTCATCCTGGTAATTATTGCAGTATGTTGCTGGAGACGCCACAGAAAAAAACGCAGTGGTAAGTTTTTAAAATCAAATGATACTTCTCCTCTCTTCTCCCTCTATACAGAATGCTTAAAAGTGGCTAATGCACAGGAGGTGTGGGATGCCTATACAATTATTTCTTACAAGTCCAAAGAACTCACTGATCCAGAAAATAATTAGCCATTTGAGCTATAATTAGACACAGTGTCTAATGTCTAATTCTGTTCCATTCTTCTGTGAATGTGTGATATTGTTGTTGTTTTTTTAAAAAAAATCCAGTGTATTTTAATACATCTTTGTATTTTCTATCAAAACATACACTTCAGTGGTTCAAAATACGAAAGAACTGCACCACAGCATTCAAAGAAGTGAGAAATCCAGGGCCTGGTTGAGTTCTGATCTGTAGTTTGGTTTGCAATAAGGTTGGAGTTAAGCCTATTCATTCATGCATGCATGCATGCATGCATGCATTTTTAAAATCTCACCTTGAAGGACTCAAGGTGGTTTACAAATGTTTTAAAAGGACAAATGATAGTACAGTGACAATAGTTATTGTGTGCCATCAATTCTGAGTTATGGCAACCCTTTCCAGAGTTTTATAGGTAGTGAGTACTGAGAAGTGGTTTGCCATTCACTTCTTCTGGGAATGTTCTGGGACTGAGCAAATTCCCAAGGCCACATAGGCTAGTTCTACTCATAGGAGACAGGAGGGAAATTGAACTCTCAATCGCTGGCTCTGCAATGATATACCTAATTCACATCATAGGCATCCTTCAGTCTCAAGAGACTATGGTAACATGCTCTGAATCGAGGAGTGTCCTCTCCAGAACATGAAGCCCGGGTAAGGTAATGTGGAGGATAGGCTGTTACCCAAGCAGCAGATCCCCCCTCTCCACATTGCTGAAATGATCCAATGGAAAGGCAAGAGCCAATACAACTGGTTCCAGCAATGTCGCAGGAGTTGGCAGAAAGACACATGCTGCCTTCGGGACTCCAGCTCCGGATTTTGCCTCGAGGTTAACTCCTGAAGCCTTTTCCATGAGTGGATATAGCCACAAGGCAGTGGAGGTTTGAAACTGGAGTTTTCCTAATTCACATCACATTATTTAAAAACCAATTAGATAAATTCATTATTTAAAGGCACAAAACCCCCTGTTGAAATTATTGTGTGTTTTTTAAAAGAAGATAAATGAGCAATTCTTCCCTTACAATCCCTTCTTCAGTATGTATTGCAAGATAGTTTGAAAAGGAAGGTCTTTGCCTGCTGGTAGAAGGGACCATTCTGGTCTCCCATGAAAGTTCCATAGTTTGGGAGCACCCACTGCAATCCCCCTTTCCCATATATGCATCAAGAATGCATATGAAGGCAATGGGACAAAGACAGAGGTCTCTTCTGAAGATCTTAAAGCCCAGGGAGGCTGGTGTGGAGGGATACAGCTCTTCAAATAGCCTGGGCCCAAGTTATCTAGAGTTTCGTAGGTTAAAATGAGCACTTTGAAATGTTCCTGGAAATGGTCACAGGTCCATTTCTGCTCCTCCTAAAACCAGCTCCAGTAGGGAAGTTTCTGCTTCTTCTGTAACCAGCTCCAGTAGGGAAGCTAGGTTCAGTATGCTGGACCCACTGAAATTTCTGAACACTTTCCAAAGGCAGTCAGGCCCACATAGAGTGCATTACAGTTACCAAACAGGATGTAACGAAGACAGCAGCCAAATCCCGCTGGGAAAGAATTACATAGCATTTAGGTAGTGTTTGCCTTGTTGCCCAGAAGATCTGCCTTTCCAGCAGGCTGTCCAAAGCTTTATTCTGCAAGGAAGCAAGACATGCTTTGTCTAAGAGGTAGGGATCCGGTTATTACTGACAACAAATTACTTGCCATCCCTACATATGTGCACCTATTTGGAGATGTATAAATCCTCTCTCTCTGTAATGTTATGGAAACAGTGCCAGGAGCTTAGCAGGTAGATATGTTGGGCTGACATGTCTTCTGGAAACATGATTGTTCTCCTCCTTATGTGTTCACTCAGTGAGAGGCGAGCTTTATCTGTGTACAACAACTACATCAGAAGGTTGGCTTCTCTGGCCCAGTCTTCTCTACTTTGACTGAGAGCTCTTTCCAAGGTTTCTTCCAGGCCTGTTGAGATTATTTTACATGGATATAAGAAATATATAGTGGGGTCTCTACTTAAGAACGTCCCTACTTAAGAACAATTCCACTTATGAACAGCTCCATTTGCTAAATTTTGCTTCTACTTGAGAACAAAAATCCAGATAAGAACAGGAAAAAAAAACTTTCCTGCTCTTTTTTTAACCTTAGGTCATCTTAGGTTAAAAAAAAGTTCTCCCCCTAGTGGTAGAGTACGGATTAACCAGCTTTGCATTAGTTCCTATGGGAACTAATGCTTCAATATACGAACACATCTCTACATAAAAAAAACAGCCAGAACGGATTAATTGGTTTTCAGTCCATTGCTTCAAAATTAGCTTCGTCAGAAGTGCTTTTAACACTGTTCCCTGACCTAAGGGAAAAAAAGAAAAAAAAATCCCCCTCTAGTGGTAGAAGGCAGAATAGCAGCTTCCCATTAGTTTCTATGGACGGAAAAGAGCAGATACGGATTAAATGGTTTTCAATGCATTCCTATGGGAAATGCAGATTCTACATAAGAACTTTTCCACTTGAGAACCACCTTCCAATACGGATTAAGTTCTTAAGTAGAGACCCCACTGTAACCTTAGTGACTGCTGGATAGGGATTTGGCTGCGGAGCCAGAAATGAGTTCAATTCCCACTGGGCCTCCTTGACAGGGGCTGGACTCGATGATACTTCCAGCTCTCTAGTTCTCAGATTCTCAGATTATTATCAACCTTCCTCATGCAAAACATTAACTACTGGAACATTAGCTCCTTCTTGTTCACTGTATCAGTTTATCAAGAAGAATACTAATAAAATTTCAGACGATTTAACTATATCTGGCAGGAAACTGAAAAAAAAAACACTACATCACACCCTGGCTTTCTTCATATCAGTGAAGAATATGTTTTTTTTTCATAAGTTAATATGTCACCTTGAATCAGATGGCTACAATGTTCGTCATAGCAGAAAGATCTTCTTTTAAAATATTGGTGAAGAATAACATATTCAGCTGACCTATTCCTAAATTTAGACAAGGCTTCTACAAATGTCTCCCAGCCCTTTGATTCTTTTCAGTCAGTAACACACTATTTTGCCATCCCCATATTTTTCTAGAAGTATTATCTTGCTTAAAATTGCAGAAGTCTACATTAATTTGAGACAAACTAGTGCATTTATGGAGAGAGTTGGGAGTGTCTTCCTGAACACTCATATCTTGAAGATAAATACTAAAAGGAAAGATAAGAGCACAAGCTTCCTTTCTCAAACAAAGTACATGGGTATTTACACATTCTGATCCTCTAGATATGTTTTCAGGAGGTATCTGGGGAAAAAAATCTAATAAAAGAAAAAAAAAGATAGTTTAGCTGCTCCAGGCTTTTGGAGTGCAATCACCCTTAGATTTAAAGTATATAATGCAATCAGCACATCACTAAAGGCAGAATAGGTCATGTTCTCTGCAAGGACTTGACTGCTTCAAAGCAGTATGTCCAAACAATCAACTTGCAAATGAAGTCTGTGCTTACCTCCCAAGCACTAATTACAAAACAGGCTATTTTGCAGAAGATAGAATTAAAAAAAAAACCTAAGAAAAGCACATGCTAGAATAAATAGATATCTTTTGGTTTTATTCTACTTCCTAATGACATGCTAACTGTATCATAGAGTTTGGCTCCTTCAGTTAGTGTTAACCTTCAAGTACAGTATATATGTTCAAGTTCAGGGTTCGGCCTTTCACTCCTAAGCATAGATGTAGCACATCACTGATGAGACAGATGTTCTAAGTATTTTTTCATGGTGATAATTAGAATTACAAAGTAAATCAGAATATATGGTTTACTTTGACATGGTAATGAGAAATTTTGTTGCACATTAACAATTCACGTAATGGTTTTATCAGCCTAGCTCTGTTGTTTCCACATGTCAAGAAGGTTATTTTCTTTCTCTTTCCTATCACATGACAAGTGGCTCATTTTTAATGTCTTAACATAGTGTCATGAGCTGAATGTCATCCCAGAATCCATGGTCACCACAGTCAAAACTGTCTGAGGAATTATTGAGAGTTGTCACCCAAAAAGTAGCATTTTGAGCTCTGTTTAAAGATAAAGCTAAGCTTCTCAACGCTGCCCTTTCAAAGTTCAAAGCCTATTTCTGACCAACCATGGAAACTGGATTTTTTCCAAACAGTAGCAGTGTTTCCCAACCAGGATGTGTTGCTACCAGGAGGAGCTTGACCCTGACCTTTACTTCTGTATTGCTGGTGTTTTTCTTGCAGCTACTGCAGGAAAGGGCTTTGGTTCTGGAAAAATTTGACTACTATCAAAGCACAGGCCACACTCTTCCCTGCCATGCCTTGTTGTTATGGGGCAAAAGAGGAGCACTTCGGGAAAGAAAACATTTTTTTTTCAGGCGAGATGAGCATTCAGCAATATTCTGTTCAGAATTCTGAGTGACTTCTTGATTGAACAATGCAGTATTCCCCCGAGTTTCTGTCTTCCCTTCAGTGACATCAGCCCTATGAAAAGAGATTTTACAATGCTTGTATAGTAATGTTTCCAACCCATCTATAACCTGTTGCCCAAAATCCTTTGTGCAATTATGCAAATAGCATAACTTTCAGCAGCGAATTCCTGTAAGTTAAAAAAAAAATCTCCATAGGCATTATCTGTTGCATACAAATATGTGCAACTTGCTGTGCAACATTAATGCCTATAGAGATTTCTTAACTCACATCAACATGATACTAAAAGTTACACCTTTTGCATAATTGCACAATAGGATTTTGGCTGTTAATGTTAGATGTTGACATTCTAAAGCAAAGATGCATAATATTTCAAACAAAGCATTTTTTTAAAAGAACGTTCTCCCCTTCCTCTGCATTTACTTTGTACAAATGTATACAGAGCACATCCACCACACATATAAATGGTAGGGTGCTCACTTATATATCACCAAAAAAGGGATACAAGAGAGGGTATTGATTTTCCTAAAAATGTATTTATTTATATTTATTTACATTATTTTTACCCTATCACTCTCCTTAAAAAAAGACCCAAGGCAACTTACATCATTAAAATACAATATTTAAAAAGCTAAAAACCAGTAAGTACACAAATATTAAAAAGGGAATCAAACAAATACCACACTTAAAGTGGTAAACAGAATCAACACCAAAAACACATTCAAAGCAACAAGGTACAACACGCCATGTAAACATTTCTCCCAGACAGCCAATCTCTAAGAGAAAGGTCTTTGCCTGCTTGCAAAAGGACAGCAAAGATGGGGTCAGCCTGGCCTCCTGTGGGAAGGAGTTCCAGAGGATGGGTAAAGCAACAGAGAAGGCCCACTCCAAATGCGTGAGGGTGGTGCGACTGAGAGAAAGGCCTCTCCTGATGCTCTTAACACCTGGGCAGGCTCATAAAGAGAGAAGCAGTCCCTGAGATCGCTTGGACCAAAGCTGTTTAGGGCTTTATAAATCAGGACTTTGAATTGTGCCCAGAACCAAACTGGCAGCCAGTGCAGCTGCTATAACGGGGGGGGGGGGGTTATATGAAAAAGGGGGGTT